TCGCCTGGCCTGGCCCGGCCCGCGCGGCGTCCCAATAAACGCAGCTCGGCGACGGCGGTGCGGTGTTGCGATGCGGGGCGGTAGCGGGGCCCTGCGAGTCCCAGGGAGCCGCGTGGGCCCGAGCCGGCAGCACGGGGCTCGCACAGCCCGGGGTACCTGCCCCAGCGCTCCAGGGAGGCTCGGCCTGCTGGGGGGAGCCGGGACCTCCCGGGGCTGCAGCCTCCGTTGAACAGCACAGGCAGCCAGCAGCCCCCGGGCACTGATGTGCTGACCCCTCCCTCCACACACGCGGCAGCTGAGCTACAGCTCATGGCAGCCTGGCCCATCCCCACCTCCCTCCAGGTGCTGCACCAGCCACGAAAGGGAGGGCGGAGAGGCGGTCAAGGACTCCCAGCCTGCTGCCTCCCCCCACAGGGCTGAGCTCTTACTGCCCTCGGCACAGGCCCCCTTGCCCAAGGGAGCCCAGGAGCCCTGCGGGACACCAGGAAGCAGCTCCTGGCAGGACATCCACTCCCGGGGGCCATATGAATACACCCCTGCCCTGCCTGTTAAATCTGTGCCCAGGCCTGGCCCAGCGCTGGGGGTCAGGCCCCACCCGAGGGCCCAGGCAGTGTGGAGGCTCCTACAGAGAGGGCGAGGGCTACACAGAAGCAGCCCCGTAATTCTCCCCCAGGCAAGGCTGGCCCCAAGAAACACACCTGTCCCGCTCACACTGCTCTGGCCTGAGCCTTTATTAGGAAGGAACCTACCCCATACAAACCCCATTGAAACCCATTACAGAAAAGCAGAGTGAAAATATTATGTACAAGTACATTACACCATGGGCACCGCAGGGCTGAGAGGGTGTGGGGGGCACAGGGCACAGCCAGCCCTGTACCCTGCTCAGCACAGGGCTGGAGTGCAACGCCCAGCACACGCCTGCTGGTGCCCTGCCAGTGCAGGCCCAAGGGCCGGCCAGTGCTGCCTCCTGGGAGCAGAACAGACCTCCCCCTGTGGAGCAGCCAAAGCCACAGAGAGCTCCCTGAGAGGCCGGGAACAGGGAAGCCCAGTCGCCTTGCCCTGGGGGAAGGCTGCAGAGCCCATGGGGAAAGAACAGGGAACATCACCTCAGCCCCTGCAGGCAGCAGCGGAGCCACTCCTTGCTCCCCCTCCCAGGGGCTCCGGCCCACGCCTGCTGGAGCAAGGGCCTGGGAAGCAGCAGCATTTGGTACAAGCACAGCAGAAGAGCTGAGAGGACAGAGCATTTGTTTTCAGTTAATACAGGACCCGGGTGCTAGGGGAGACCATTTGGAGTGAAGCAGCCCACTCTGAGCTCCTGCCCTGGACTGGAGCCCAGCCCAGTCCCCTTGGCCTCATGTCTTCTTCTTCAGCTCCTCAAACCTCCGAGAGAGGTCGTCAAAGTCAATGTCTTCAGAGGCAGCGCTGCTGGTGCCTGCAGATGCTGCAGGCAGTGTGTCTGGCACGGACGGTAGTTCGGGCAGCACAAAGTTGTCATACGGGTCTGGTGCTCTAGCCACAGGTTTCACAGAGGTCTCTGGCTTCGGCCCGGGACCTGGTGAGGGCGATGGGGCAGCGTCACAAGCCGGGATCAGTCCCACCTCCCACTCGCCCCGTGCTCACCGCTCCCACAGGTGCAGAGCCAGCCCCCACTCCCCACAAGGGCTCCTGCCCACCGCTGCCAAGGAAGCACAGGGATGGGCTGGCTACCTCAGCCCACAGGGCCTGCTCAGAGCAAGCCACACTGGGGCAGACCCGCTGCAAGACAGGCCTGCTCCTCCAGTGCACCCTGCTCTGCTGCCCCTGAGCCTCTGCTGCAAGTTTCCAAACCTCATCACCCATCACCAGCGCCTGCTTTGGGCCCCCTCCCCACCCCATGCCCCGCCACACTCACCAGCCACCTGAGCAGAAGGCACGTCCTTGTCAGGGCCAATGTTGTCAATCTGGAACAGACAAGCTGTCACTGTGGGGCCAGGCCTCCCCACCTAGGCTGCCCATGCGCCTGGGCCACCCAGGCAGATGTGCCAGATGGATGCTGCCCTGGTTAATCAGGACTTGGCACCTGTGCAACTGGTCCTCAGCACCAAGGAAGGAGGCCGCTCCAAGGGAGGGATGAATCGCAGAAGCCCCTGGCATATGCGCTGGGAGGACTCATTCCAGGTCAGAAGGGGGAAGGCACTGAGCTGTAACTGGTCCCGGGGCAAAAAGCCAACAGCTGCTGTTGCAGCTCTTACAGACACTCAGGGCAGGCTGCCCCCGGCCTTACAAGGGCCAGGCCCAGACTGGGAACATGGAGCCTTAGATGGGGCTGAAGGTGACATGACAACAGGCAGCTTCCAAGAGAACAGTGACTGGCGAGGAGCGCGCGTGCAGACAGGCCATGCAGAGCACTGCCTGCCCCTCTGGGGCTGGGTGCAAAGTCAGCAGCAAGGGGGAGTTTGTTGGGTGCAGACTGCACCATTTCCAGCAGTCCCCAAGCTATGTGTTTGGTGCCCAGGGAAAGCTGCAGGTGGCAAACCTGCGACATGAGCTGCAGGGCTCCAGTCTGCCCGTGTGACACGCAGCCTGTGGAGGACAGCTTGCTGCAGCCTCCTGATCTTCACGGCCAGACACTACTCTGTGTTCTGGACACTCGGGTGCCTGGCTCAGCCCTCTGGCAAGCTCCCCACCCCATGCAGAGGCTCCAAGCAGCACACAGCCACCCCAGGTTAGGGATGCAAATACCATTTAAAAAATGATTCTTTTAACCTCTTCTAATTAAATTGGTCGAACCTTTGCCCTGTAACACAGAAGCTCCCACAGCTGCTGCTAGGAGGTGGGGAAGCCCAGCCAGACAACACAGGCCAGGTGAGACCCCACCCTGAACTAGCAACTAATTGCTGAATTGATGAGTCATTAGACCACCTCCCTACTGTTCTCCTTTTAGACTATGGGTATTAGTCCCCCTCCCCTCCTGCTGCCTTCTGGTTCCTGCTGGAGCACCCCACAGCTCCCTGGCTTTCCCCTCTTCCCTGATGAATGGCACCCACCCCGAACTAAACTGGGCTTATCAGTTAAACAATTAATCCTTTAACATCCCTAGGGGAAAGGGTTGGGAGGAGTACATCCAAGAAGCTGTCCGTCTTCCCAGTGGCCCTCAGTGCCCTCCTCAGGGACTGGCACAGGTACTTACAGACTCGTAGGTCGGGGGCACAGGTGGTATTGGAGGTGGGTGAATGTTGGTGAAAGGCTGGTAGGTCCCCACAGGCAGGTGGTTGAAGTTCTCCTGCACAGAGAAGCAGATCAGGTGTTGCCAGAGGGGGCTGCGCTTGCTCCCACACCAGGCCACCCCTGGTGCCCACAGCAGTGACCCGGGGGCCCAACATCACAGCATCACCAAGCACACTGGTCTCAGAAACACTGATCGGAGTCACGGACAGGAACTCGCCCTAAGAGATGACCCACACTAGGGAACGAGACGCCCGTCAAGGAAATCAGAACTCCGTGTTCAAAGCATCTGGGTGCAAGGGAAACAACTGCCCGGGAGCTTTGGGACAGGCACTCTCCCCAAAGCCTGAGCTGCCAGGCGGGCAGTTCCCTGGGCTCCAAAGATCTGAACCACAGGTGCACCGGGGCCCTCCCCTCAGAGCACACGTGCCCCATGCAGCAGCAGCCAGCCGAGCAGCACTTACCGGTCCCTTGGGCACGGGGTAGGAGAAGGGGGGGGGTGGTGATGGCATGGGCATGGGCATAGGCATGGGCACCACTCCATCGGCACCCATCATCGGGGCAGTGAACCCACCGCCCCCTCCTCCACGGCCGCCTTTCTTCACGTCGTCCGAAAACCCAATCAGGTCCGCCTCAATGCCGGCAGGGGCCTCGGCCTGACAGGGAGGAAGAGGCTCATGTTGGTGGCCACAGCAACCCCTGCCAGCCCTGCAGCAGGAACCCGGGCCTGCGCGGGCAGGCCACGGAAATGGAGCACAAGGAGTCAGGACTGACTGGTACCACAGTTCCCAGAAGGCCCGTGTGAGGTTGGGGCCCTGGATATTGCACTGCAGACCCAGCTCATGGGGTTGGGGTGGGGCACGGCCCCGGACAGGGCAGCACAGGCTGGAAGGGCCTGGGTGGAGAGGGGGTGCAGGGTAGGGGATGGGAGCCCACAAGAGAAGACATGTTTCAGGGATGCTGCAGCTCATGGCCATGTCTGCTCCTCTTTTCTCAGAGATGCCCCAGCACCAGGGCAATGCCTCCGGCGTGGGGAAGGGCATCTGGGGAAGGGCAGCCGGGGAAGGGCAGCCTGGGCTTCGCTCACCATTACCACGGAGTCGGGCTCATAGGGCACGTTGTAATTCTTGGCAATCTCGATCAGGTACCGTTCCACCAGGATCTTGGGGGGAGACTCCACACTCAACTTGTGCATCAGCTGCAAGGCAGAGACACGGCGCTCAGGCACTGTACCAGCACTGGGGTGTGGCTGGCACCTGCAGAGACCAGGCCTGGCCAGGACCCCTGTTGGGTGCTGGCACCAAGGCTTCTGGAGCCATCCTTGCCTGGGAGCAGCTGCCAGGGGATGGTGCCTGGGGTGCAGAGAGCAAGGGCTCTGGCTGCCTTGCTCCTCTCTGGCCACAACAGTTTAAGGGGAGGCCTTGCCCCTGGCCCCGAACAGTTCTGCAGTGGTGGCTGCAACTGCAGCAGGGACACCCCAGCTCTGAGCACTGCCCTCCCCAGGGCTCTCCCAGGAACGATGCAGGCACCACATCCCAGGAAGCGGCATGCAGGTCCATGCTAGATGCATGCCACAGCTGCCCCGGAGAAGAAGGGTCTGCCTCCCGCCCGCCCTGTGCTCGGCTGTTGCTGCTCCACCGCTTACCCTGTCATTGACGGTCCCGATCTGGTTGGTGCGGCACAACTTGCCGTACTCCTTGCTGTACTTTGCGCACAGCTGGTCCGCAACCTGCAGCAGGGAACAAGCCTAGAGTCAGAGCACAGTGACATCCTGGGCTCCCCAGCCCCATGCAGACCAACCCTAGCAGCAGCGCTTTGCCTTCCCTGCCTGGGGCCCCCGGTCAGGAGCCCTGCAGCACCAATGCAAATAGGGGGTACCAAGACCTCCATGGGAGTCACTCCAGACAGCCCTGACCAGACACACCCCCCTGCCCACCCGGGCACTGCCCTACTCACGATTTTCAGCTCAGTTACTTCAGACTGCAGCCGTGGGGCAGCCCAGATCAGTGTAGAGACAGCTTCTGCCAGGCCAGAGTCCAGCTCCCTAGGGGAAGGCCGGACAATGCGTTAGCCATGTCTGCAGCCCACGAGCTGCCCAGACCAAAGGATCCCATCGCATAGCCAGGCCATTCAAGAGGCCTCATGAACTAAGACCCAAACCCGGCCACCCCTGTGCAAAGGGAAGCCCCTGCCCCATGGATGCCTGATGCCCAGGGCCTTACTTCATGGACTGGATCAGACCAAAGCGAGCCAGAAGCAGGTCGCAGTACAGCTCCAGGATTTCCATGGCTTCCACCAGGTAGTCCTCCCGGATGATGTGCTCCACCCGGATCCGCGCACGCTCATCCTTACCAGCAGCCAAATAATCTGCAATCTCCTTCCGTGCCTTCTGGGCCAGCTCCGCTGCAGGGCAGGCCGCAGAGTCATGCCAGGGGCAAGGGCAACCTGCCACCCCTGTACGCCAGGCCCGCAGAGAAGGGACCCCTCCCAGTCCTCTTCTCCTCCACCCCACCCAGGCTGGGGGCACCCTTCCCAGGCCTGCCCTGCCGGGGGGTCATGCCCTCACAATGCAGGCTCCTCCGAGCAGGACCTGGGTTCCACACCTTCCACAAGGCCCCTCCTGCACTGCGGCAGGTACGGAAAAGGACTGGACTGGGTCTCTCCCCAGTGCCTGGTTTGTCCAAGTCCAACCCTGACCCAGAAGGGGCAGCACAAGCTCTGCAGATCCCACCTTGGTGCACACAATCTGCCGCCTGGGCTAGATGAGATGAACACTCTTGTTCCCAGGGCCCCTGCCCAAGGGCCCAGCTAGAAATGGCTACGGCCAGAGGCTGGTCACAGATTGGGAATACCCTAAACAGTCACAGCCCTTACAGGGCAACTGGGGCCTTCAAGCCGCAATCCAAACCCACTTTCAGAGTGTGTAGAGGGCACAAGATGCTGGCCATGATAGAGTGATGTAACCTCCCCTGCCCCGAGCCCCCTCCTAGTCTGTCAAGCATGGGAGGCTGTGCCCAGAGAAGCCAACACCCCTTGGGCAAGCAGAGGGAAACAGGATGGGACTTGCACAACCTGCTCACAGCCTGCCTTAGCAGCACTGAACTGCGCGCTTGGGCTCCCCCCCACTCCCCCTTTTACTCACTTTTCTTCTTCTCCAGCAACTTGAGGCGATTGATGACGAGGCGCAGGTTGACCCGCAGGCGCTCAGCCTTGAACCCAGAGCCCAGCATGGTGCACGTCCTATGGGGAGGAGAGAGGACGGTCACTGGGTCTCCTGCGGCTGCCAGGAGATGCTGGGAGAATCCACCCCTGTACTGGGCAGAGGTGCCCACCACTCCCCAGACACACCAGTGCCAGCCCCTGCTGCTCCATGGAGGCACAGCCTGGCATTGCACCGACAGAGCCCGTATGGATCCAAACTGCCCATGAACAGAATTCATCAGGTGCACAGCACGGCAGCCCTCAGCTGTCCAGCTCCGCTCACGTCCAGCATAGACAGCAGGGCTGTAAGGTACCGCACACTTCTGTGGCTTGTGCATACAACATGCATGAAGACAGCTGCTTGCATCAAGGCACACTACAGGCAGCTCAGCGGCACTGGCAGAGGTACAACACATGCTGAGGTATGTGCACGTGTGAATCAACATTATTTTAATTGAATCTAACAGTACCAATGCATGTGGAGTTTTATTTCAAATTCACCACAGACTCTGTGCCCACAAAAGAAATGCAGCAGTGCTGCAAGTAGGGGAGGCAAGGCAACAAAATCACCTGCAGCAACAAAACACAGCCCTGGAAAGGCTGTTTTAGATGAATCCTTGAGAGTATGGGACCAATTAGCCATGTTAATGTAGCTCAGTCCTCCCAGGCAGAGCTCCTGCAGAGACCAGCTCCTCCTCATCCCCAGCTGAGGATGAGTACATGGAAAACAGCCAGAATGAGACGAGGTCCATAGGGTGGCACAGCTGCAAGGGGAGAGGAAGAGTCTGGAGCCATCCACAGGGCAGATGCTCATGCCAGGAGGGCAGAAGGCATAGGGTTGAGGGGGACAGGCAGCTCAGCAGTGTGTGCAAGGAGGTCTTCCTACAGGGAAGGGCCAAGGGAAGCAGGGGCAGGGAACAGACTGCAAAAAGGGGAGAACAGCACACATGGGGAGTGAAGAGGAAGATGCAGGAGCTGGGGCTGGAACAAGGAGCAGGCTGCAGCAGGAAGTCATGTCTGATATTTATTTTTCCTCTGCGAGAAGCTATTCCTGCCAGCGGCAAGATCAAGAGACTACAAGACACGGGCACCTTCAGCACAACCACTGGATCAAGCGTGGCCTATGCACAGATGCTGGAGAATCCCGGGGTCAGTGTAAGCCAACATCAGCAGAGCTAGAAGGGTCCAGGAATGGTGCGACAAGTCACAGCAAACCCTTGAGTCATCTCTGCTGCCCCTTTGAGTGACCCAGCTCAGCATAAGGATGTTTCAGCATATGTGACCTGGAGGCTCGTGTGTGGCAGAACGAGAACCAGGACAGAGGCTGTTCTTGACCAGTACCTGTAGCCAGGCAGGAGAGGCCGGGAAGTGAAACCCCACTGGCCTCAGAAGCGTACGCTGGTGCAGCAGTGTTGTTCAGCAGCATGTTATGCATGTGGCAGCGCAGGGGCTCTACTCCTGCCTGGCGCACAGCTGGCTGCTTTCCTGCTCGGCCTCCCTCCTTTGGCCGGCACAGAGCTGCAGGGTGACATGGAAAGGGCAAGCTTGTGAGAAGGAACTTCTCACCACCAGAGCTTCTCTTGTCCAGAGAGACAGGCACCCTTACACGGCCAGCTCGGAGCTCCTGCAGAACCTGCCGCTGCAGGAAGTCCCAAGGTCAGCAGCCAGGCAGGGAAGGGCAGGGAGTCATGGGGAACTTGGAAGCAGGGAGGATGGGGTAAATGGTGGGTTCAGGCATAAAGCCTGGCTACAGGATTAAGGAGAACCTTGTGGGCTCTTTACAGCTGGATGCAATTAGCATCATCTCCCAGTCTGAAGCCAGGCATCCTGGGGCCGTGGTCCAGAGGGGATGGGAGCTGCTCAGCAGCAAAATGCCTCCTAGAAATATGAAGCTCTCTTACGCAAGGAGTCTCCCACTTAATCTCCCCCCAACCCAATTTCACATTACTCGCATCCAGACTCTCCAGCTAAGCCTCTTGAACATGCCCCACAACGACAGAAGGTGTCTAGAAACTTTGGCATCACTCGTTTCAGCCTATGCACGGTCATGAACCTGCCTTAAAAATACTGGTGATCCCCCTCAAATGATCTGTGGCTAAGTAGCGGTAACATAAAAGGAAATGCACAGAAACAGAGAGGCCTGGTGGAAAGATGTGGAGTAGCATACCATTAAATAAAGTGCTCAGATGAACTGGAGAGCAAAGATGGCCAAAAGAAACGAGACCTGTGAGAAAGGCTGAAGGAACAGGGTATGCTTACTTAGCCATTCTGAAGAGCGTTTTGGATCAGCCTACCGAGCTGGATGCTCCTGAAGGATCAACACTGAATTCATTCATTTTCAGGTTTGTGCAATAAAGTATGGAAGTAATGGAGAGCGTCTCCTTCCAGTGAGAAGAGAGCTTTCACATGGGAAGGTGCCGACTCACCCCAGTTCCATTCCAAAGCGCAGACATTATGCAGTTGGTTTAATTTTGAACGTGCCAATTACTGCGTGAATGAGTTATGTGGATGTCAAGACTGACCTACAATGATCTGGATGCCAGTAGGATGACTAAAAACTAGGATTTTAACACACGAGGGCAGTGTTAAAGAAAGTGCAATTTGCAGCATAAGACAGGGAAACAGCCGATCACCCCCCAGGCTGGAAAATGTCCCCACTGAGAAGATTCAGAAATGTATCCTGACCCTGTTGTTCATATCAAAGAGCAGAGTCTGAATCGGGTTACCCCAGGGGAGGTTGGCTATTCTGCCCTGACTGCCACGAAACAAGTGCAGAGCAAACCTCCATGCAGAACTAGGCCCTTGGCTGGAGCTCACTGATCTCTCACGTGACAAAGGAGCAGTGTTCTGAGAAGCAAGTACCCCCCGCTTCTCATCCACAGTCCTTCACCTTCTCCAGGAGCTCCTCAGATTGTTTCCGGCTTTTCTCGATGTAACTTTTTACAGAGGTAAGCAGAATGACTTTAATCAAACAATACATCCAGACGAGAATTACCAGGCTCTTTAAGGTTAGCCGAGTTAAAAGGCTAGGATGCTGACAGAGCACAGCAGCATACTAACCCCTACTGAAATGTGGCTCATGTCATGTGTCTCTTGTAATCTTAGTGACAGGACAGATGTCAGCAACAGCCGCTACTTCACCACGGTTCCTCCACCTTTTACTGTGCAAAGCCCTGCCATATTCGAAGAAGTATTATTTGCTTTTGCCATAGAGTCTGGAAATAATTAAGCCTAGCACACCTAATATAAATGTCTACAAGGGAAATTTTGCACGCAATCCTTCATTTTTTTTTTTTTAAATGATGGTATGTGAACCAATTGCTAGGGAGTCCTGAATACTCTAACCCCTCCTTGCTGGCTCCGTCACTACCTTCCTCCAAACAGCGAAACCAAATCGCAGAAGCCGTTCAGTCCGAACCGCAGTGATTGACTAGCATGTAAGAAAAGGGGGGGACAGTTCGGTGAACTGGGGAGCTGAGGCCTGTGATAAGCAGTGCTAAGATGACCCCAGGTGAGAAGAGACACAGCTGCCCTGCTCCCTACTGCAGACAGCCAAGAGACCATTATCTGAAGAGAAATGGGTGGGAATACAGAAATTTGAATCTGAACTGTAGAAGCTCCTCTACACACAGGCACAGGTGCAGGAGTCTGAACTTGCCCCAACTACAAAGACAGACTTGGAGACCTATGGCCCCACAGACCCCACATATAGTATATAGTCTGGAGAAGCTTGTTTTGGCTTTTGTGCTTCTCCTGAAAAAATGAAAAGCCTCCGGAGTCACCCTGGATGCAACACAAAGTCTGGAAACTACTGATATAGAAACATATTTGTGTGCGGCAAGTCAGGGCTGCCCCAACAAGGCCCACATGCCCCTAGGCCATACGCTGCACCCTTGGCTGCCCCCCCCACCCAACTGTGCCACACACATGAACACTCCCTCTTCCTCCCCCTCCCACCCTGTACCATATCCCACCACACACAGAGGCATTGCTCCATGCCATGTGTTTGTGACCCCCCCTGCACAGTGCGTTGTGCTGTACTGCTCCACACCACCCCATCCCACCCCGAGGCAGAGCACAAAAGGTGGAGAAGGGAAGGGGAGCCTGGAGACTGACTGCCACAGGAGGGAGGGAGCGAGCCTGGGGGCCCCAAATGAACCCTTGCAGGCTGAGCATGGCCCATGGCTGCCACCTGGGCAGCACTGCTGTGAAGTAATGCAGCAGTAGATGCAGTTACACAGCCTTCTGTAATTCGATTATGCTGCTGCAAAACAAATGCATTCACGGAGCTTGAAATAAGTTACATGAGATACAAGCAATGTATATGCTGTGTAGCATATGCTGTGCACAAGTGCATACCCAGTGGGTAGCCACTTCCATTAACAGCCCACTCCATCCTGTCCAGTCAGTACAAGGAGAGCCCTGCGGCCCCTTCCGTGCCAGACAACTTGTACCAAGTCACACGCCTTTTACTGCTGGAGGAAATGGTTCAGGTTATCTTTCTGTACTGACCTTCTGACAGGTGAGTCACACACCAGGAAGGTATGCAACTGGAAAACTTAGGGGCCTTGGCTTGCTCACTACCAGCTCAGAGTTCAGGTCGTTAGGGGACTGTCTGATGCGACTTCTCTTGTGAGTCTACGTAAAAGCCCAGAACTGGAACTTAAGCGGCAGGTCGGCAGGCAAATGAGAGACTGACAACTGCGCAGCCCAGACTCCCGTATCCCTGCTTTTACTGTTTACCTGTTTAATGGTGGTCATGCTCAAACAGGCAGTTTCCATATCTTCTGTTATACAATGATCACAGGTTTCAGTGAACAGCATGTTTTGTTCAAGAGCAGTTTTGAGAACACAGTGAGCAGGTTAGAGATATGGAGAAACTTAAGCACATGCCCTTGTTTTCAGACAAATGCGATTTGTCAGACAAGCCATCCTCAGGCCGAGATTTCTCCCACTTTGCCTGGGTAGGCAAGGGACCCCGTTCAGGAAGGCTAGTAAAACTGCCTTTCGTCAGGTTAGAAAGCTGCTTTCGCATAAGAAGTTTCAGGTTTCTGTACAACCGGAGGAGGAGCGGTTACCGTGAGGAGTTCAGAGCTATTGTGTCTGCCCCACCCTGAGGAATGCGACTCAGCCACATATGGAAGAGCTGGCTGCAAAACAAGGTCGATAACCAGCTGCGTCGGGCAGATGCTCCACACAGTGACCCTTCCTCAGGCAGGTGTGCACTGGGTGGCATTGTCCAGGTGCATCTAAATGCTTTGAGAGACACGGGGGTGGGGAGGGCCCAGGGCTTGATCACTTATTCTGCTGCTTACCAGTCCAGGAGTCCAAGCAACACCAAGACCTCCTGGGCGAGCCCTTAGAAGGCACAGAAGACAAGAACTGCCCCCAAACAGCCACGACTCAGGCAGCTCAGGGCTTGCAGGTCAGGCATGGTTTTGCACAGGAGCTGCCACGCCAGGGGCCGAGGTGGCAGGAGCCGGGACGGGGGGCGGCTGCGGCCCTTCTCGCTGGAGGCAGCACGGGGCAGACAAGAGACCACGGGTTGCTCACGCAGCGCGTGCTGCGCAACCAGAGAGAGGAGATCGTGGGCACCAGTGCCCGGGGGGTGGGGCCTTCCCCTCCTGCTACAATGGCACCTCTGTACCCCGCCGGCCAGCTGAGGAGGAAGGAGAGGCAAGAGAGCAGCCAGCACTCGAGTCTTGTGATCCCGGCCTGGTGATGCAATTCCCTGAAGGCCGCAGGGACGCATCCTTGCCCCGCACTAACGCCGGCGAGGCCCCCAAGCCCAGGCAGCGCCGCGCTCCCTCCCCGCC